GCTCGTCTTTATGCATCATAGCAGTCGTCAAGCGTTCTTTCTAATTGATCTTGTTTACCAGATATCCACTGGCCAATTGTTGGGGGGTCAGGCTCAGAGTAGGTCTTAATTACCGCCAGTGTCCTAATCTGAGATGTGGCGGTAGTTCACACATCAACAATGTTCACCAGATCCATTCTGGATGTGTTTTTGCATACACTTTAACACTTCTGTATGCATTCTAGTGTGTTTTTGATGTGTTTCTGGATGCGGTCCAGATGCTTTTTTTCATCCTTTTTTGGGTTATTTCAATTACAAAATCTTTATTTTTATCAAGACAGTGCTTTTCCTTTGCTTCCCTTACCTGTTTTGTTCACTGTACTGGGGTCTGGTGCTTTTTGGATGTGTTTTTGATTGCTTTCTACTGAATTCCAGGACAGTTCTGTGCAGCAAAAGGGCAGCATGTTGTACTTTTTTCTGGAACTGAAAAGAACTGGACCACACTGCGCTGGTGTGAACTATGCCATTGAAACCCATATAACTTTCTTTCCATGCTTTTTTGATGCAGAAAAAAGCACTGCACTGCATGTGGCATGAATGGGCCCTTAGGAATTTGTCACTGCCATAGCGACAGATTCTTAAAATGTCAATAGTAAGAACTACCTGAATTTGCCAAGTGTTTTAGTTTCTCTAGTCAAAACTCTGTTTACTAGAAAATTCAACTTTTGTCTCATTTGTTAATAGGCCATTGTTGCAGTAGTGCTATGAAACATCAGGTGGCACCCAGGTAGCAGCAAATATATGAATATGACTTTTTTTCAGTGTTTTTCTTATGATAAACTCTTAAATATAGTTGTAGATGTATCTAGATGTAAATAAAGATGTACAAGAGATGCCTGCAGATTCTTAGTTTTACTCCATGTGTACAGCCTTCCTGGCTGTAAACTGTTGGAAGCCCAAGTTCTTTTTATTTTGGAACCCTTTTTATTTTGTAACCCTTTCAGATTAATGAATCTATACAGTTCTCCTTCCAATGTCTTCCCATAAGGCAAGCAGGCCTACTGGTACTTGGTTGCCCCCAGGACTTATACACAATGTTATAGTGCAGGGGAAGGCAACCTTAAAGAGGTGGAGATCTATCTGAACAACATGGGAGAAGTCAAAGATCACCAGGCACAGTGTCAGCCAGCGTCACCTCCTCATACTGGATTTAAACCTCTAATTGCCCTACTACTGTGTCACAATTGCATGATTTCCATGGCAATCTTGATTTTAAATCAGGTAATGAGGAGGCAACATATTGCTTCCTCACCACCTGTCAAACACTCTTGGATCACTTTGCAGAGTAGCAGTAGTGTCTGTTGCACTTGTGAATGAGCCCTTAGTTGCATCCAACTCTTAGGGCTTGTTCACATGTAAAGTTGGGGGGTGGTAAAACCCTGCTGTTGAGTCATGGTTTTACCGTCCCAATCCCTACCCTCTTTAGCTGCTGAGGCAGCAGCCAAAGGTATACACATGCCGCAGCAGGAATCACACCCCCCCGTTGCTTTTGGTGGGTACTACCGTCTGTAAGTTGAGACCCATTCAAGTAAATGGGGCCGCTCTGCAAGTGCCTCACAACTGCATGCTTCTGCTTGGTCCAAGGGGTTAAAGCATGTGGTGAGAAAGCAACACACTGCTGTCTGTTTAATCCCAACCATGACAGGGCATAGGAGCCAGCACTTTAGAGGAGACATCCCTTTTGCCGCCCCCAATCCCTACCCCCTTTAGCTGCTGAGGCAGAAGCCAATTGTATACACATGCCGCAGCAGGAATTACATCCCCTGTTGCTTTTGGTGGGTGCTATTGCCTGTCAGTTGAGACCCATTCAAGTAAATGGGGCCGCTCTGCAAGTGCCTCACAATTGCATGCTTCTGCGGGGTCCAAGGGGTTAAAGCATGTGGTGAGAAAGAAACACACGGCTGCCTGTTTAACCTCAACCATGACAGGGCATAGGAGCCAGCTCTATAGAGGAGACAACAACTTATGCAGCTCTTGCTCCCTACTACAGCTCCAACTTTACAAGAAGTCCCTCTGTATTGCACTCTGTTTGATTCTCTGGATGGTGGGTCAGCAAGCCCTGACCATGATCTACGTGATCTACCAATCACCTGACTAAGATCTGCTGGTTACTGACCCCCGCTATAGTGCCTGGCTGCCACGTTGGTGCAGGTGCGAAGTGAGCACAGCAAACAGGTATTGCTGTTTGCGTTTGGCAGACAGGCAGAGTGGTTCAATGAGAGTCCAGGTACAAGGCAGGCTAGGTAAAGGATAGTCAGGACCAGATCTGTAGTCAAAAAGCAGGCAGAGTTCACAGAATAGTCGATATCCGTTCCGAGGTTGTCAACGAGGGAATCCAAACAGCAGAGCAGACAGAGAGCTTGCAGCATGTGTTATCAATGCAATATCACAAGCATGAGACTGCGGGCTTGACTGGCTTAAATCAGGTTTGGTCTCCACCCAGAGACTGGCCACATCAACCACCTTGCAGGTGGACAGACAGACAGGGAGAGTGCATCATAGCGAAAAAGTTTTGCACTCACATAGGCAGAAAAAGTGTCGACATATAAAAATCAAACAAATCGCTATGGGGTTACGCACACTCTGGTTCAGAAACAAGGCACTCCTTGGAAACTTGCCCTATGTGCAGAAGTTTCATCTGAAAGACATCCTCAGGAGCTGAAGTCATTCTGACAAAACTCATACATGTGGGGAAGGTTCCCAATGCCGTCTTCACGCTTGGATCCTTTTGTGCTACAGGAGTGCCTGGTTTGTGACTCAGGAGTGTGAGTTCATAGTGTGAATGTAACCTTTTTTTTTTTAAATAAAAAACTTTTCAGGGCTACTTCACTATTGTAAGCCTCTTTTTCTATGGGTATAGGATTTCCTTTTTGAGGTATCCATCCGTGACCCAGATTCATATATGGGGATGGCGGAGTTGATTATACAAAGGCGATTTCAGACCTTCCATTAACTTTGTGGGTTGATTGTGGCAGTGAGCTGCTCTCCTATGGAGTCAATCACTGCGTGTTTTTCGATTTATACTTTATCAGCACAGCGGTGGCAGGAAGATACATTTGTATCTTGGGTGTCTAATCATGGACTGATAGATGTTTTATAAACTATATTTTATTTAAGATGGATGTTTTGTATATTTCATTGTATGCTATTCACATGTCTATATTTGCACTGGTTCAAGTAGGCGCTTCTTTGCTATTGATTTGACATTCTTTGTTTTTGTTTTTAATCAATTCTTTCTTTATTCATTTAACACAAGGCAATAGTACAGAGAATCAGTTATTTTTTTATGCTTATTATTTGGGCACAGCACATTAATTTTGTATAGATCTGTTATATATTTTACGTCTGTGATATATCTTTGTGGAGCACTACTAATTAACCTGTCACAAACTTGGCTAACTAAACGTGATGGAAAAATATGTGAGCAGAGGGTACTTACAGTAAGTGCATACTGTGCGTCAAAACAAGAATGGATCCTGAGATACAGTATGCTGAAATGACATGCAAATTTACCCTCTGAGACTTCCTACTGGCTGCTGAGCTTACCATTCACAATAAAGGATCAAAAGGGTGGCCTATATAGCAGTATGGGTTGGGGCCTCTGCTTATGCATTTTTATCACAGGCCTAGTTTGAATTACCCAGGTTTACTTAAATAGGTGTGCAATCAATGTAAGCAGAATTCAGAAGTCATTCTCTATGTTTAATTAATAGAAAACTATTTTTTAAAGGTAAATATACCTCAAACTAATTACTGCATGGAACAATGCAAGCTTTAGATGAAATTACCAGTAGTTTTTGCAACAACAGTAATGGCATCCCATCCCCAAAACCTATGTTACAGACCTGACTTTCTTTCTTAGCATTTGGCTGAACACTGTGGTTACATCTGGCTCCAGTGGATTCTCTGTAACAGCAAATAAAAAATAACATCCCACTGATTGTAAGAATTGAGTTACTAGATGAGGTATTTTTATTAGTATATACAGTATAAAGATGTTTGTGTTCATTTAAAAAGTTTGCTCCTGTCCAAGAGACACACCAGGAAGTGGGAGGAATATTCTACAAACTGGGAGTAAGTGAAAAGACCCTTTTAAACAGTTTTCAGCCTACAGATGTCTCCACTGGAACAATTGCCCTCATGTCTTGTTCTGATGGCAACTGTCAGGGCTTGTGCACATGCATGATTTTACATATATACAATGTACAGGAATTATGTGCTGGGGGTATACATCCCTGAATGCATATGGCTGTAAATGCAAGTACTACTAAGAACGTTGTCCAGCCACGTACTTCAGCCTGTCATTGATTTTGACAGGTTCCTGGCAGCTGCACGCTTCACCTGTGCCTTCCTTGCGCCAAAATTGGGATTTTATGTATGTGCTGTACAATTTGGCAGAAATTCTAACCCCTCCCTAACCTATCCAAAACTAAAAAAATGAGTTTAGATACCCTGTAACTCTGTTAGGTATATTTCTGCATTATAAATGTCTCTAAAAAATACTGTAAATATTGTTTAGGAGTGTAAGGCTTATTTTTGCTGATATCGCTACGTTATTCAATAGATACTTAAACAAAGCTCACCATCCTAAAGCTATACTTTGTGAATCGACTTTTATTATATAGTGCTTTTCTTCCTGGCAATTCAAAGCACTTTATCTAATGTTGGAGGCAATAAGTGAGGCAGCCATCTTGGAAACGGTCAGTAGACTAGGGCATTTTTTTTTCCAGACAGGAGCTAATAAACATATCAGCATATCTTTGGAGTGTAGGGAAAACCAGAGGAAACCTATACATACAGGGAGAACATGGAAACTCCATGCAGATAGTGTCTTGGCCAAGATGATTTATGGTTTTGTGAACAGAAACTTATATGGACAAAAAAATACATTGGTTAAAATTCATGGAATAATTCTTGGTTATTTCCTTTGTAATGATCTTTGCTTTATTTTCTTTTAACAGGCCAGACCACCTTAATGGGCACATTAAACAGGTTCACACATCCGAGAGGCCGCACAAGTGTGAGGTATGGCGCTGGGGATGGGGGACTGTGGTTTACAGTCCTGTGAAAGTGATCGAATGTCAACATTTTCCCTGTGCGACTTAAAGCACCAGTCCCACTTTACAGGCACTGTTTCTGCAGTATATATATTATTAATTGTCCATTTATTGCATCTACAAATCCAGGTAAAGGGTAATAGGATTTACATTTTAAACATTTTGAATATATAAATACTTTCACTGCCTTTATTTCCTAACTAGACTGATCTGCTGTGCAGAATTTGATATCGTTTTGACAAGTCACATTTTCCTATTGAAAGGGCCCACAAAAATGATTTTACACCCATTTTTCTCCAAACTAGAAATCTGCAGAAGGATTTGCCAGCCAAGTGCACAGTGAGCAGGAGAGAGGAGGAGGAGGAGGACAGGTAATGCAAAATGAAAATGAAACACAACCTGAATATACTTTCTGGAGCAAAGAAGCGGGACTGGTGATTTAATTGGGCCTAAAAAGTGTATGGCATTATTCAGACGTTTTGTCTGTGTGCATGTATCATCTAGTATGTTTGTGAGCAAGTCTTTGTATTAATGTAAGCTATTGTCAGGGTGTTTTTTTTATTTTTTGATATTTTAGTTATAGGTGGAAACTAGTGGGATGATTCAAACTTGGGTGGGGGGGGTGTTCCTACCCTCCATTGTGCGTTCCATTCCCTTCTCTTGTATCCAGCAGGTAAAGTGAGAACCCCTCATTATAGCCTCAGCAGGTGGGCAGAAACTCAGATGCAGATACCAATAGAGTGCCTAAAAGATACAGGAAAAGGACAGATGGTTTCACTTTCCAGCATCTACTAGAAATTTAAATAGCAGTGTTAGGAAACTTACCATATAACGTAGAAATCCCCTTTTTAAATAGAATGCTATTTCATGGGTAATTGCTGCAGCTTAGCACTTTTTAAGCTATAGGATATGTGGAATTTTTGTGCATTAGTGTGCGTTAAGTAGGCCCATTGAAATTAATTGTAAATGCATAAAAATGCATGTATTATTTTGCTTCTGTATGGTTTTAGCATGTTTGCACGATGGGACATCACTGTTCTTTAATGCCCCTTCAGTGACTTTCATTGCAAGTCTATGGTTTAGGCCTGACCTGATTTAAAACAGTAAGATCTCTATAAGGTGGGTTCACATCTGTGAGGTACAGGGCAGGGTAGTGTGCTCCCGAAAAAGAGTTGCAGTTTTATCTGCGTTGGGATGCATTAGCAGCCGATTCACAATGAGTGGGCTGCCTTAATGCAATGCATGTAAATCAGGGGTGTCCAAACTTTTTTCAAAGAGGGCCAGATTGGATGAAGTGAACATGGTGGAGGGCTGAACATTTTTCCGAACATTCTTTGAACCATTACAATTAAATGCAAATAAATTATTTTATGCCAAGTTAATTGCAAACAACATACTTTTCATTTCATAACATTAAGATCAACTGACAGCTGAGTTTTCACAATGTATTGAAAATAAATTTTAAAAAAACTTACCTGCACTAATGTGAAGGGTGAAAAAGGTAGCTGGAGCTGAAGTCTCTGCTCGGCAGCCGGGAGGGGAAGAGAAACACACTTCACACTGGAAGCCCGGCCCTGACGTCACCGCCCTCTGTCGCTCCCAGCACGGCGCAGTCACGCATGTGCACTGCTCTCAAGCAGAAGACTGTCTGCCACAGAAGGGAGGGCCGTGCGGCAGCCGCATTTACACAGACCAGGGAGAACGCGCCGCAGTCAGGCATGCGCACTGCCCTCTGCTCTCAAGCAGAAAACTGTCTGCCATAGAAGGGAGGGCCGTGGGAGGGCCACATTACACAGAGCAGGAAGGGCTGTTGGAGGGCCGTATTAAACCGACCCTTGGGCCGTAAATGGCCCGCGGGCCGGACTTTGGACATGCCTGATGTAAATAGACAGCATAGTGCTTGTTAATGAGTGTGCATTACCATATTACAGAGATGGGAACCAGGCCTTATAAGAGCTCTTTCAAACGAAAGTTCCGATCGGGTCCGCCTGCCCGTTTTTCAGGCAGACCCGATCGAAACCTCCATTCTCCTCTATGGAGCGGCTGGTGTAAACGGACGTGTCCATTTACACCTGCCGACATCTGATCCGCCAAAAAGGGACGGATGGGGATCCAATTCCCCTTCTGTCCATCGGATCAGATGAAAACGGACAGGCGGTCCGTTTTCATCCAACCGCCCATTGAGAGTCGAGCAGCCCTGTGTCTGCTCTGCAGCAGCAGAGGGGACACAGAGCTGTCATCCGCTTGCTCAGCGGAGAGATCCCCCGCTGAGCAAGTGGTCCGCTAAACGGGTCTGTCCCATGTGACAGAGCCCTTAATTGGTGAATGTGACATTCCTTAAACATTCATTGCAGGTGTATTTACCTGGAGCAGGTGTTTTAAATTAGTAAATGTTTCAAATGCACTGAATGTTTGGTGAATGTCACAGTCATGGCTTTAGAAATATCTCCTATAGTGTCCACATACTTTCATTTTTAAAAAGATTTTAATAAAATTTTTAATCAGTTTTTGTGAGATTGGGTTCAGTAACATTGCTGACAAGGTTACAGGAATTATATTGTAATCGAGGGGTTTATTTACTAAAGTTGGTTCACTCAGACTCTTGTGCACTTCTGTATAGAAACCAATCAAATTCCAGTTTTATTGCTAAAGCTTAATTGAACAAGCGGAGATTAGAAGCTTTTTGGCTACCATGCACAGGTGTACCAGATTCAGAGTGAACCAGCTTTAGTAAATAGGTGTTTTCAACACCTATACTGCATATATTTTAAATATTACATTTTGGAAGCTAATTAGTATGGAAATGGAATATGTAACAAGACTAAACAAAATGTTGCTAGCATTAGGGTGACATTAGGAGCAGGGACACAGCCGTGTATCCTATGTCATGTCTCAGGAGAATTGGTAGCCAATGTAATTAACTAAGTTGTGACAAAACCGGTAGTAAACTCCGGCAATGAAAAAAAAAAATGTGGGCCCCTGGGTGGTTTAGGCCATAATATGTTAGTATGCACCACATACTAGCACAATAACAGACTTACCGTAAAATGAAGCTCTCCAGCCGTGGGCTGCCACTGCTGTTGGTTCTTTCATCTGCACCCGGTCTTCCTTCTGAGCTTGCAGTCTCTGTGCATTTGAATGGCGCACAGGAGTCACGGTCGCGGCACAGCACTCTGAATGGACGGCACACTCTGCTTCAAGCATGAATATCTCTTACACACCGCAAGCTTAGGAGACATTCACTATATGTACAAGTAAGCCTTATAGACTTACTGAGTTGCCAGCTATATTGCTACATATTCTGGATTGAAAGGTCAGCCTGAGCACCAGCCCCCCACTCACATTTCTCTGATTAACAGTAGAGCTTGGGTGAGTTTTCTTTGTAAGCATTATAGCCTGACCTGTAGGTACAAGTTAAAAAGCAGAGTTTACTACTACGTTAATACTCCTCTAAGATTGGCACTTGGCAATGCAAAGGTTTCCTAGCACATGTCAAATCAAGAACATCACTTGAAAATCCTGGCCCATGTATGACCACCCTAAAATAGCTCATCTCCACAGTCAAAATGAACTTGGTGTGGCAATTGATCAGACTGGCAAGGTGGTCACAGGGAAGGTAAGTACATACTCCTTAGATTCCCCACAGTAAAGTAAACCTGTAACTATGATCAGTATACTGATTACCATCACACAAGCAGGAAGGTACACACTGCAATAGTATATAGCCAGTAGATATTGACATTAAAGTGTATATAAACCTAAGGAGTAGCATTTAATATATTGCAGCTTATCTGCATTAGCTTTCCTTTATCAGAACTTTTTCTTTTTTTTTACCTGGTGATCCTTCCAGTAAGACACACTTTCAGCCCTAGGGTGACAACAATTACTCACCTTACTGTATCTATAGAGGATCTGCATTGTCACCATACGACAAGAAGTGTGTTTGGTCTACAGGACACCTTCCCCTCTCCTTATATACATAACATGGGGAGGCAGTACCATAGTAGCTGATACCAGTGCAGTAGAGGCATAGAACATGGGAAGCTGTCGGCTCACTAGGTGTCTGCAAGGATCAAGAGGTATTGTTTGCACTTCTTGAACAAATATAACAAATGCTTTTAATGGTATATTTTACAGACTAAAAGGAAGCAAGGAAGAGACATTCATTGTTAGGGTTTACATACACATACATTTCATGGGAAAACCACTTTAACACTTTTCTACACAAAGACAAAAGTAGGGAATGCTAATAGCAATTTCTTTTCTTTGCCATGCTGTGTTTTTCCAACCAGTTTTTAAGATAGTGTCTTTATCTCTGCTTTCAGACATGTAACGCTTCCTTCGCCACACGTGACCGTCTGCGCTCACACTTGGCATGTCATGAGGATAAGGTACCATGTCAGGTGTGCGGCAAATACCTGCGGGCAGCTTATATGGCAGACCATCTGAAAAAGCACAGCGAGGGTCCTAGCAACTTCTGTACCATTTGTAATCGAGGTAACTATAAAGTAGGAAGAACTGTTAGTATATGCAATTATGCCAGAAAAAGGGAAATAGTTTGTAAAATGAAGGAGCCACAATGGCCTTGTCTGTTGTAATAATATTTTTTGTTCAGTGACAAATGAAGATAATGCAATTACAAAGCAAGACAGGATGAGTGCATTTGTGTGGGTGGGAATGGCTGTTATAAGGCTTGAAAATAAGATTCTAGTTTGGAAGAGAATCACTACTATACCACTAAATATCAAGTTATATGTCATTATAGGAAACAGTGCTTCCCAAAACAACAAGCAGGGACCTAAAAATATATACACAAATTTTATATGATCAAAATTCTTCCCAAATGGAAATATAGAAGCAAATATATAAATAATGAACGTAGATAAACTGGGTGGTATAGTAAGTAAACTAGCAACTAATCAGCAATCACTTTTCACTGATCTGACATTTAGAACTTAGTAATGGTAAACTCTGGACTGTTACATTATGCCAACGTGCTCCTATTAAATACAATCTGAGTGTCGCTACTTCTTAGCGAATTTACATATAGCTTTGCTTTGAATATTGACTTAGCCAAACAGCATGGCAGTCACCATTCTCGTGATAAACTGTGCCACTTAGAAAAATTAAGCAAACACTATGGTTCCTCCACAATAAAAAGGGTAGATTCTACTCAATGCTCCAGTACTGAAGAAAAAAACAGAAACATTTACAGCAAGGTTGGGGCTTTAGTCATAGAGAAAGACAGCCAAATCTGTCTGACTGAAGCAGTGAAAGGCCTGCCTATTCATAGCCAGCTTCACCCCAAGCCAATCATTTTAAATCCTTGAGACAATCATGATTGAATGGCATCTAACTAAACATCAAGCTTAAGTTACACATTTAATTTTAAATTAATCATAATTAATCTATTAGGTGCCCTTCGAATTTATATTAAACTTACTGGCACAGCAATGCTAGTAGGTTACTGGAGCAAAGAAAAATGGAAAGAAGCAGAACATTTACCAATAGCTGACAGATTCTTTTTTTTATTTGAAGAATGCTGAAACTTTCAGGCCTTATTCATATCATACATGCAGAAAAACTGATGGAAACTGGCACACAGATATCACTTGAAGAGACACAAGTTTACATCAGTTTTCAAGCGCATTCCAGTGAGTTATATACATGTTGAAGATTCCTGCGTACAAAAAAAATCTGCACACAATACCAGTGTTGTGTGAACAGGGCACATAGAGAACAATAGTTTTTTTTTTATGCCCTTGCAGATCGCATGCAGAAAAACTCACGTCTTTGAACACTGGTGTGAACAAAGTCCTAATGGTTGTAGTTGGTAACTGCTCTGGTTTTCATTGTTCCAGTTTTTGTAAATCAGTTGCAGTGATATGATAGAAAAATCAGCATACATGTACAGTGTTTTGCAGTTATTATTCATCCTGGTTTCCATATGCTGCCCGTTAAGCCAAATCATTTTATATCCAGAATTTTCTCAGTTCTGCAGTTGACTGTAGAAAACTCTCATTTGCATAGCTAGGTTAATTGCCCTATTGGTGGTGATTATTGCTTAAGGAATCTATTAGGCTTACCATTTAGCCAATGACATTTCACTTGCAGATCATTTACAGAGCATTATTACTGTGGAGTGATGATAGTGGGTTGCTTGGTCTCCTCCTTGTCCATTCACCAAACATGTTGTATCCTTTTTACGGCTTTCTGTGAATGGATGAGGGGAGAGTGTGTGGTGATCGTTTACCGCAAACCCCCCCCACCCAAAAAGAATACAAGATGTTTTGTGAATGGATAATGTGGAGAGCCAGTGACCCTTTATCATCACTGTATTATAGCCCGATCTGTAAGTTTCAGTGCTGAAAGTTCTGAGCTTACAGTGGTGTATGGAATGAATGAAACGAAGAGTTTTACCTAGCACAGCAGCATCCATGCATGAGACAACCATCATTAGAGGTAATTTAATTTTTGCATAGAAAATGGCCAAATGTTCAGCTTTATGTATTTACATTCCATATTCTGTAGGTAATTGTTTAGCAATGTGAAGGTCATTTATTAAGTGCTCACTTTTTAAGGTTTAAATTTTCTCGTATTTTAAGACAAATGATATCCTCAAATTACATGCATCATTTCCTAAAACTGCTTAAAAGACTCTTAGGGACCTATCTCGATCTCGAGCCTCAATGCTGCCTAGAAGATGGTTAACTGCAATTCAAATGCACTTCTTAATAAACTGCATACAATCTCAGAAGCATCTCAAACTACTCTCCAAGCACCTGAAAGCAAGCTGCATTTGCAATGTTGGAAGCATCACACATAAAGCAAGCAGAGAATGATCTACTTATACTCATCCAAGTAGCTGAATTGCTGCATCCTCAGCAAGTTTCTTCATAACTCATGTGACATTTCACTGCGGCACGCATGCATGGGAGGGATCCCAAATTTACAGAGATGTTTCAAAATGTTTGATTTATACATGATTTTTAATGCAAGGGTGTTAACCCTTACACTGCTCATATTTCATCAGCACTGCTATGATTGGCCCATGCTTAACAATAACAATTAACAATAATACAATAAATACAAAAAACGGCTCCCAGGTCTGGAGTCACCACTATAATTACAAATTAATCCTATTGCAATGCACCTGTACAATAGAATACAATGGAACCAAAAATATATATAAACAACAAATCAAGCACAACAAAAGATTATTGTAAAGAAAAGCATAATAGCAGCTGTGTCCCAATGAAGAAGATGTTTTATTAGAAGAAAACAGATAAAATCCTCTGGAACTATCCCAATTAAATATCAGGATCACTGGGTGTCTTTGTTGCTGGAGATGAACATCAGTACACATTCTAAACTTAGCAAAACGTAACACACAATATAAAATAAAAGAAGACAAGTGGTTGGAAAGTCCTAAATTCCTGGATGTAGCTCATATAACATATTAAAGAACTGAGGAGAAGTATACAGTAAGCATAATGTCAATGCATATGTTGTAGGGATAGACTGTAATAATTGGAGGTTGGGAAGTGATCCCATCATTTTCCATAAATGTACATTCCACGTACAGGGTAAAAAAATACTGCGAACTGATCTAATATCATCAGCAGACCCAAAGGTGACAGATATCCTGAAGTGTGACTTCACTGTTCCAGTGAGGAAACATTAGTATCTTTAATGTGTTGAATGTCAGTTACAGTATCACGTTGGACCTCTATATTGATACATTATTACAAAGCAATATGTATCACAGGTGGCACTATGGCAGGTGGTGATAGCATCAAATAACTTGGTTTCTATAATTGTATATTTCAACACACTGCTATATGGAAATCTGGTACTGTAATCAAACATACTGCCATCATAAGTTTAAATGTAAGATTTGAACAATGCTTCAGTTCCTTAATGATACATCCACAGTGCATATGTTGATGTAAATCCATCTCAACTTAAAACATATCTGTAATGACTAAATCATATTAGGAGCAGCACAAAGTGCTTGAATCAACAAAACATGCTGTTTTATCCACTCAGTGGGTGCACACATGCAATTATTTAAGGTGACTCAATAGTGATTTTAAAACATAAGGAGAAATCACTCCAATGAGCAAATATCCAAATGCCACCATTGCTCAATATGCCTTACAAGATGATGTAACAGTTGATAAATATATATATAGTGAGCAAATAAAAGAAAACTTTTAATGAACTCCTGTGCTGAAGTCATATCTCAGGCAGATGAAAACAAAGGTGTATACAAAAGGTTAAAAAATGCCTGTAAACGGAATCTGACATGCCAGATAGTCAGTAAATCATATGAGCTAGAGCAGCATCCAATATATCCACTGGATCTAAAACAAACACCATTCACCTCCAGCTCCGTCGTAATGGGAAATTCCTGCACTAATCACTCTTATGGTCACATACTGTATCATAAATCAGGTAATGGTGAAGGAGGGTAGAATTTTCATTAAAATCTACCCAAAAATAGTCTCTCCACAGAACAACATGCTCATATATTCAATACAATCTGCCTCTAAACAGATGTTCACATCCATGATGTTAAATGAAGTCACTGTGGGGGTCCTGTACATGGCATCTGACTGGTTTTGTGGTGCCTGCATCACTTTCAAATATTTGGCACTGTATAGGAGTGCACTATTCACATCATAATAGATGGGCCCTAGTATATGGCTGGGGCGCAGTAGTATCTGGGAACAAAGAGAGCCAGTGATATTCAACAGACTTGTATAAGCGTTACTACTGCAGGTTGCAGTTATTTCCTCACAGCCACCAATCACTTTGACTTAAAAGTGAAAAATCACACAAAGCCAAAGGATACTAGGAAACCAGAGCCACACCAACCAAATAATAAAACATATCCATTTAGTGATTTTATTGTATACTGTACATGTGCAATACAACAAATTATTTAAAAAAAAACAGTAGTAGTGACCAGTCTTCAAGTCTTCCAATAACTACATGCTTAAACAGATTTTAGCAAAATACAGAATTTATTATCAATAATCAGAATTAAACTCATGTTTCCAGTGCAGGGCTGCTTTGTACTGCAAATGATTCAATCAGTAGAATCCAACATCATGTGGCAGGGCTGTGCAAAATCACATATATATAAGTGCTTTGCATTCCCAGGTAGGGGGCGCACACGCGTCGCACAACCCGCGCCGCCATTGGCGGCTAGGCATGTCAATCACCGGGTCCTGGCCGGAGATTCCCCACTGGTACTCGGCGATCGCCGTGCAAAACGGACAGGGGAAAGACCTGTGTATAAACAACACAGGTCTCTATCCTGCCAGCAAGGACATGCTGCTTTGTATTTGTCTCCACAGCAAAGAAATAAAAGCAGCATGTCTCTCTAGTAAAATAGCACACACAGGAAAATACACAGTTAACTCTTTGATCACCTAAAGTTAACCCCTTCCTGCCCAGTGTCATTAGTACAGTGTCAGTGCTTTTTATTAGCACTGATCATTGTATTAGTGTCATTGGGGATGTCAGTGGCAGTTAGTCAGTTCCCACCTTGTGTCAAAATGCCTGCCGCCGTCCCACAGTCCCGCTAATACCTGCTGTTCGCCACCATTACTTGTATAAAAAAAATTAAAATTCCAGTATGTATACTGCCATTTGTAGACGCTATAACTTTCACATGAACCAATTCATTTACACGTATTGGTTGGTTTTTTTTAGCAAAGACACATGTAGAATGTACATGTAGTAGAATACATTTTAGCCAAAATTTATGACGAAGTTTGATTTTGACATTTTTTTTTATTGGTTATGTTTTATAGCAAAAAGTCAAAAATACTGGATTTTTTTTTTTTTCAAAATCGTAGGTCTTTTTTTTGTTTATAGCCCAAAAAATAAAAGCTGCAGAGGTAATCAAATACCACAGAAAGAAAACTCTATTTGTGGGGGGGGAAGGACTTAAATTTCATTTATGTAAAGCGTTGCATGACCACGCAATTGTCAGTTAAAGTAACGCAGTACTGTATCACAAAAAAAAAATGGCCTGGTCAGGAAGGGGGGTAAATCTTCTGGAGGGCAAGTGATTAAATGTGCATTCTTTTCAGCCAGCAGAAGGATCTTTAGACTCCTTTAACCGCTAGCCTACAGAGCACTTATACCCCCTTCCTGCCCAGGCCAATTTCCAGCTTTCAGCGATGTCACACTTTGAATGACAATTGCACGGTCATGCAACACTGTACCCATATGAAATTTTTATCATTTTTTTGTGACAGATAGAGCTTTATTTTGGTGGTATTTAATCAACTGGGTTTTTTATTTTTTCTTAAACAAACCAAAAACCACTGAAAAGTTTTAAAGAAAAAAATTTTTTCTTAGTTTTCGTTATAACATTTTGTAAATAAGTGATTTTTCTCCTTCACTGATATGCGCTAATGAGGCTGCACGAATAGGCTGCACTGACTGACACTGATAGGTGGCACTGATGAGGAGGCACTGATGGGCATTGACAGGCATCACTGATGGGCACTGAAAGGCAGCACTGATACATGGCACTGATATATGGGACTGATAGGTGGCACTGACTGGCACTGATAGGCGGCACTGATAGGCGCCACTGACAGGCACTGATAGGCAGCACTGATGCACACTGATAGGCGGCACTGACTGGCACTGATTGGCAGCACTGATAGGTGGCACTGACTGGCACTGATAGGTGACACTGAAAGGCAGCTCAGACGGGCACTGATATGTGGCATTGATGTGCACTGGTAGCACTGATATGTGGCATTGATGTGCACTGGTAGCACTGATATGTGGCATTGATGTGCACTGGTAGCCACTGATATGTGGCATTGATGTGGCACTGGCACGAGGCACTGATGAGCACTGACACAATGGACACTGACAGGTGACACTTCTGGGGTTACACTGATCATCAGGGCACCCTGATCATCAGTGCCCTGATGATCTGTGTACATGTCCCCTCCGTGGAAAGCTGATTACCGGCTTTCCTCTCCTCACGAGCTGTCAGTGTGACAGCTTGAGAGGAGAGAAATGCCGATAACCGGCATTTCCCTGTTACATGTGATCAGCCGTGATTGGACACAGCTGATCACATGACCGAGCCGACACCTTCAGCTCTTTCCATGATCAGTGAACCGCTGTGTCCAAGGGACACAGCGCACCGCCGATCGCCGCTCTGCGCGCTCCCTGAGCCGCGCATGTGCGCTGAGAATGGGAGGACGTCATATGACGTCCTCCCAGAATGAGAGAACCACCTTGCGTCCGTCAGGTTACTATATGGCGGGCGGAAGGTGGTTAAACATGTGTTCCTGAGATTCCTAAGCCCCTCCACACAGCTCCTATCTCATGCTGAAATTTACACACATAAGTGAATGTGCCAAAGAAGTGAATCTTTCCCTCTCCTTTTCTCTACATGATTCCATCCCAGGTTTCAGTGAGCGACAACATGCCTGAAAGGGAGAAACTACTGTGAAGTTCTTCCTTTTTATAAACCATAGTGGCCTGAGGATCCTTTGTCATGTAATAATACAAATATTTAAAAAGATTGTGAGTGTGCGTGTACAGTATATAGTATACCACGCACAGATGGTATACAGGTATGTACAATTTACTAGTGCTGATTTTTTTGTTTGCAAGACATTTTTGTGATTAATTATCCTTGCCATAAACAGCCACATTTGTATCAAGAAGCAAAATAGGAAAGCATTAATTCACACTTGAACAAGTTGGTACAGCACTCCAATGGGTTGTAGATCAGTGATTGAGCAGCATGCCCTGGAAAATGATAGTGTAATGCGAATGTTAGAATCCTGTTAGTGGCTGTGGGGAAATAATGATGGAATGTGTCTTGTGTGAACAATTTGTGACCATGTGTGTGATGATTGCAGGGTCAGGAATAAGGAGAGAAAAAATGTACATGTATAGAGGTAATGATATAGCTATTAAGGAGTCAGAGGTTTGTGTGTGGCAGTGTCTCATCTGCTTTTATCTTGTTTAGGTTTCTCCTCTGCCTCTTACTTAAAAGTCCACGTAAAAACACATCACGGCGCCCTCCTCAGTGCAGGCCCTCACCGGCCGGAATCCACCCCAAATGGTGCAGCACTGTTCCAATGTGTCCGGACCTGTGGCGTGAAAGGCAAGCGTTGCACAGCCGGCTGTCCGTGAAGAGGGGGGCGCAAGTGGGAAATAGGAGGGGTGTTAGCTGTACATTACCCACACAAGTAAAACAGGATGTTGAAGGGAAACTCCACTTTTGCTGAGCAAAAGAAATAGATTTCAAGTCAATTGTATATATTGCAAGGATTTTAAAAATACATTTCACATTTTTTTAATCTATCTATCTTCTATGACTAGATAACAAAACAATCCACTTAAACTGATGAGTAAATGGGAGGGTTTGACTGCTGTAATCACAACACAGTCAGCCTCAGGGTTATTGAAAGAGAAAACCTAACTCTTCGCATGTCTTCCAATGTACAATACCCTTGGCAAGTATTTCACCAAATATACAATACCCTTGGCAAGCATTTCACCAGATGTACAATACCCTTGGCAAGTATTTCACTAAATATACAATACCCTTGGCAAGTATTTCACTAAATATACAATACCCTTGGCAAGCATTTCACCAAATGTACAATACCTTTGGCAATCATTTCACCAAATGCACAATACCCTTGGCAAGTATTTCACTAAATATACAATATCCTTGGCAAGTATTTTACTAAATGTACAATACCCTTGGCAAGCATTTCACCAGATGTACAATACCCTTGGCAAGTATTTTACTAAATGTACAATATCCCTTGGCAAGTATTTCACCAAATGTACAATACCCTTGGCAGGCATTTCACCAAATATACAATACCCTTGGAAGGCATTTCACCAAATATACAATACCCTTGGCAAGTATTTCACTAAATGTACAATACCCTTGGCAAGCATTTCACCAAATGCACAATACCCTTGGCAAGTATTTCACTAAATATACAATACCCTTGGCAAGCATTTCACCAAATGCACAATACTCTTGGCAAGCATTTCACCAAATGCACAATACCCTTGACAAGTATTTCACCAAATGTACAATACCCTTGGAAAGCATTTCACCAAATGTACAATACCCTTGGCAAGCATTCCACCAAATGTACAATACCTTGGCAAGTATTTCACTACATGTACAATACCCTTGGCAAGCATTTCACCAAATGTACAATATTCTTGGCAAGCATTTCACCAAATGTACAATATCCTTGGCAAGCATTTCACTAAATGTACAATATCCTTGGCAGGTATTTCACCAAATGTACAATACCCTTGGCAAGTATTTCACTAAATGTACAATACCCTTGGCAAGCATTTCACCAAATGTACAATACCCTTGGCAAGCATTTCACCAAATGTACAATACCCTTGGCAAGCATTTCACCAAATGCACAATACCCTTGGCGAGTATTTCACTAAATCTACAATACCCTTGGCAAGCATTTCACCAAATGCACAATACCCTTGGCGAGTATTTCACTAAATCTACAATACCTTGGCAAGCATTTCACCAAATGTACAATACCCTTGGCGAGTATTTCACTAAATCTACAATACCTTGGCAAGCATTTCACCAAATGTACAATACCTTGGCAAGGTTTTCACCAAATGCACAATACCCTTGGCAAGCATTTCACCAAATGTACAATACCCTTGGCAAGCATTTCACCAAACGCACAATACTCTTGGCAAGCATTTCACCAAATGTACAATACCTTGGCAAGGTTTTCACCAAATGCACAATACCCTTGGCAAGGTTTTCACCAAATGCACAATACCCTTGGCAAGGTTTTCACCAAATGCACAATACCCTTGGCAAGCATTTTACCAAATGTACAACACCCTTGGCAAGTATTTCACTAAATGTAAAATACCCATGGCAAGTATTTTACCAAAGATTTGCCACATCAAATCCAGGAGAGGGCAGGACATACCTGAAATTTTAAATCAAACACTGTAGACAGCTAGGAAAATCAGCGAGCCAATGGCATAAGCAGGGAATTAGACACATACAAGGTTGTGATTGTTTGAATTTTTGGTCAGTTTTACAAAATGATAGCTGGCTGCAGATTGAATGGATAGGTAATATTAAATTACAAAAATTACAAAATGATTTGTGTATCAGTGATACAGTTATATCACTTATATCTATGTGAATGTGGAGTTTTCCTTTAAGGGTGCTAATAAGTCATGGACCAGGAATGCATACAGACAAAAACATTATATGCATAGTTATTCACTAAAGTTCACTAAGTTCAGGTGACAGAGCCAGATAAAGTTTACCATATAGGTACATACTTGGACTCCCAAACAGGTTATGTAGATGAAGGCTTCGGGCTTTGCATGGTAAACAGGCTTATTCAGTAGAGTAGCACAAAAATAAACTCATAGTTAATGTAGCAACCACTCAAATTTCAGTTTTATTTATGTCTGGATGAACTCTGGTTGCTGTGGGTTTTTGCATTCTGCTTGTTTGCTTTAGTGAATAAGCCTTAATGTCTTATAAGACAAAAAGATTTTTTTTATTAAAAAAGAAAATATAACGCTCCAGGAAAGTACTAATGACAATGGAAAAGATTGCATTTCTGTTGAAAAATGTATTTCCACTTCAGAACAGAAAGCACCATTCTCATTTGAGGAACAAATGTTAATGTATGTTACTTTATTTGGCGATTGTGCAGGCGAATCAAACCACCCACAAAGTGGAGAATAATAGAGCTTTATTATATAATAATGTTGAATTACCAAACTAAAGCTTTTTCTTTAATGGAAAAAAGTGTGGTCACCCAGCATAGCATTAATGCATTTGGACTGCAAGTAAAACTAATACTCTTTTTCTCTTTATTCTTTTAGAAAGATTTATGTTCAAAAGAAGTAATTTCCTGAATTGTCAAAGTTATTCTGGGTGCAAATCTTACTGTACTGTTTAATAATATATTTGCATGCAAATTAATATAAAATAGTTTATAAATTAACAGTAAATACGACATAGGACTTCTGCACATGCCTTTATAAATATGCCCCTTAGTCTCAAGAAAATTAGGAAATCCTTTGCTAAACAATTAGTCATACTAATCCTTTAGAAACATCACATGTGCTCTTAGGTATACAAAAGAAACGATTTCTTACAAGCAGGCCATCCAGACTTTGTTTACTTACAGTTTGTATCATGTGCTAATCTTACATTATAAATCCCTTCCTATGCTGACACAAGGCGTAAACACCGGGAAGTAAAGGTAGTGCACAGTAAGGTCTAGAATGGTCTCTCTGGCTGTGAAAATTGTCTGAAGTATCAAATATGAGTGAGCAATGACAAAAAAATGAAAGCTACAATGTGACCGTTCGCTAATACAGAAACTGGGCAGTTACCTGCATGAAATAAAACACTGACTTTTCAGGGGAATTCAAAGGAAACTAAACATATTTTTTTTGTTCTCTTGCTTTACAGAGGGGGAAAAATGTCAGCATGGAGAACAAGAGAGTTCTGATTCATTTGGTGACCTGTCTGATGGGAGTGACCTCAAGTCCCCTGAGAAGCCAAATTCTAATGGAGCATATGTTGCATGTGACTTGGTGATTCCCAAGAAAATTGAGGGAGAGGTCGAGAAGCGCTATCCATGTGCAGAGTGTGGAAGCTTTTTTTTCGATCAAAGGCCTATCTCAACAAGCACATACAGAAAGTTCATGCCAGGCCAATGGGGACACCACTCGGAGATTTGGGGGCTACCTTAGGTCCTGCACTAGGCCCTGCCCTAGGTCCTGCATTAGGCCCTGCTCTTGGTCCTTCTCTTGGCCCCACTCTTAGTGCCTCCCTTGGGCCAGCACTGGGGTCAGCATTGGCCTCTCCTTTCTCCCCACAGCAGAATATGTCTCTTTTGGAGTCATTTGGTTTTCAAATTGTGCAGTCAGCTTTTGCCTCATCTCTTGTGGAGCCTGAGGTGGATCAGCAGGCAATGGGAAGTGAAGGGAAGTAAAAGCGATAGCACTTAATACATCTGGGAAAGGGTAGTGCTTTACATATGTGGGAAATTCATGCAAAAAGCACCGTATGCATGAATGTGGAAAACTCCCTAAAAAAGTACTGAAACACCTGAAAAGCTGTGTTTACACATGTTGTGGACACCATAAACTGTATAGTTTTAAGAGAGGATAGGAGTGGAAAATAGCAGACCAAGAGAAAGATGCAGACCTTTCTCTAACACTGTCCGCTTCACTGAGCTCAAAACTGTGCACTGCCTCCTGGACTGCTGGGGTTCACATGTCTACGCAGGGTGCACACACTGAACTGTTTCTATGTGAATGTTTTGTAGATTTTCAGATATTGAATATGAATATACACAAAACTGGTCACACATTGAAATAAACAAATTCACATGGGTTCCTGCACGAGTCATAAGGTGCTGCTTTTATTTGAAGTTTAATGTCTTCATCAATGTAGACATGAAAGAAACACATCTGGCGATTTGAGAAAAATGAGGAAATCAAGTCATAGCAATCCAGCAAATTCAGTTAGAACTGAAAAAGTCACTTCAGATTGAATTAATAAACATTCCTTGTTGGCAGAAAAGACTTCCTTTCTTGCTGTTTCCAGACTTTTAGAGTTTACCATTTTCCCACCTTACACCTAAACGATTTTGGGAAAAGGTAAAATCCTCACTAAAAGGCTTAATAAAATAACTTAACGCTGTATTAAAGCCAAAAATGTTATATATTGCAGCTTACTGATCATTAGATGTGGTGCCTGCATTCATTTTCCTTTTTCATCCTAGGTTCACACCTAAGCGTTTTCTGCAGCATTTTGCAGAAATGCAGTACAGTCCATTTAACATGATTTCTTATGGGACATGTTCACATCTGTGCGTTTTCACCCGGTGCATTTTTTGGAAAGGGTCAGGGACTTTTTTGAATGCAAAAAGTTGCGTTTTTGGTCCTATAGACTTCAATGGAAACGCTGCAGAAAAGCATGTATTGTGTTTTTGATGCGTTTTTGTTGCGTTTTAAATCTTACTAGCAACAAGAAAAAAAACATCAACTATTCAGCAAAAACACAATGCAGAAATGGCTCAAATGCAACCTGTATAGGTGTGAACCTAGCCTTAGGTATTTTTCCCCTCTGTGACAGGTATCGCACCTCCTGGAATAAAGTACCCCCACTCTGGATGAAGGAATACAGGGGGCACCTTTGGACAGCAGCATTGTCAGTCGAGGGGGGAGGGGAGTGTTACACAGACTAGCAGATTTAAATACACTAACAAAACTGAAGCCAAACTACCACTAACAATCATAGGCAGTTACAGCAAACAGCTGTTTTTTCCTTTTTAGATAAAGGTTTTACATAAATAAACTGATCATTTTAAGTTCTCCTGCCAGTGTTGAATGGTTTTTCTCATGTAAATGATTCATCTGCAAGAGAGCTTGTTCTTTTTAAAAACAACAGACTTACTGGCCAGATCACCTGATGGAAACAGAAGAAAGAAAGCTTTAAAAAGAAAACCAATGTAGCCATCATATCTAAGAATTGGTAAGCTGCAATATAATAAATGTTTGCTTTTGGGTTTAATACCTCTTTAATAAAAAAGTGTGGCCTAGATTTTCCTTGTAAACATTAACTCCTGATTTTGCTCTTGCTGTGGAGAAATCCTGAGGAGGTCACATGTCTCCACTTGCAGCCTAGCCAATAAAGAGGTGGTAGGGCTGTACCACAATATATAAGCAAAATGCTATTCTAAAGGCAATCTATAAATCTGAATAGCAGGGAGATACAATTACACAAACTGCAGAGAGAGTTACTCCTGCTCTCTCTTAGCAGATGTGGGACCATTTGGCTTAGTAATATGAGTGAAGTTAGATTTGTATGCTTGATCCAGCAGCCTCAGGCAACAAGTTTAAAACATGACAGCTTGTCTTTGCTAAGTGTGATGTGTTTTGCCATTGAGCAGCACTCTCACGCTGCCTATCCCATTGAGGATAAATAATGATAAGATCAAATTTTTAACTTTTCTAACCTGTCTAATGGAATGGTCATAAAAAGGCATCAGTCAGGGGGGCCTACAACAGATGTGTGATCATTACCCAATTCTGACAAAACAACTGGACAGCCTGACTGTCATCTTATGTTTAGCAGTATCCTTTGTCAGTCATACAGAGGATGACTTGTAGGTAGCTCTCAGGCAGTGTTGGTCTTTTGTAAAAAGACCACCATCCTTTGGATGTATCCCGTATGAAATTTTTTATGTGTTAAATAAGATAAAATGTGAGTTTATACATACTTTTGACCAACAAACAAAATTGACCAAAAACCTTTATAGTAACTTAATAAAGATCCATGTGGTGTGAGATATTTCTTTATATCCAATATGCTTCTCTAATAAAAGAATATTTTGCTTTTACTATGTGGTGATGCAACCAATCCTGATCTAGCTTCTCAGTTCAGATGTGTCTTCATGCAGGTTGGAAGCTGCAGAGAGGACTCAGTATGGGTTTTAGGACCACTGGATCTACTCATACTGTGTAACAGCCAAACTATGCCAGTGTAGCAGAATTACTATGAATACTGTTACATCATCATGGATGAACTGTATGGTTCTCCATGCAGCACCAGAATCAAGGGTTTACTTATTAAAGAAAGTAGAAAAGCCTTTGTCATTTTGTCAATGTTATAAAATACAGTAATTAAAGTAATGTATATCCTTAACAGTAGGGCCCTCAAGGCACATTTTTGTTATACGGAAAAGCTGCTCTTGTGTACCTTAGGGGCCACGAACTGACATGGAAAGCAAACAACCCTTTGGAACACCCCCTACATCCCAAAGTGCAATGTGTCTGTAACATACTGTGGTCATCATCAGGTTGTACTAAAGACTTTACAATCTTGATGTGTATAGTTGGATAGGGGTGGGTCTGAATACCAATTTGTTTGCTAGATGATAATGTACAGTGTGGATGCACCAAGCTTGTCTCATGTGTCTTGTCTTCAGATGGCAAGCACACAAAACACCACAATAAAATACTACTTGGTGCAGAAGATGGAGATCTTTGCAGCACAAGGAACTTTAAGGCTTCATTCACATAGGTGATCACCAGTGGATTCCTCTGGCTGGAATGACAAGTGTGTGAAGATCTGCAGCTGTTCAGCCTACACACATTCTGATGGTGGTACAGCTATCTGTGATTGTTAATACAGCCAACAATGACTTATGTTGGTAATGGCTGGATGCAAAATGATTGCATTCAGCCACATTCATCTGTCCCAGGTAAGCACTGGCTGTGCAAACACTCATGGATAACTGCGGCCACCGTCAGCCTGTCATTACATTGTATAGTCTGAGCGCAGAGCTCTTTCCACATACAGTACATGTCATTCCAACTGAAAGAATGCTCAAATTCTGGCCATTAGAATCGCCTGTGTGAATGTAGGCTAAACAAAAATAGAGCCTATCTCAACATAAATGGAGATTCCTGGCATGCAGCCACCTCGTATGATCTGGAGTCTGCCATTCCTGAATCCTCCCTCTGGTTATCAGTCTGACCTTGTGTACATAGTTACATAGTCTGGTTGATAAAAGACATCCAGTTCAACCAATGGAAGAGGAAAATGATATACAATCCTATAACCACAGTTGATTCAGAGGAAGGCAAACCCCCCCCCCCCCCCAATAAAACCTGATCCAATTTGCTCCATCAGAGGAAAAGATTCCTTCCTGATCCCCCAAGAGACAATCGGATATACCCTGGATCAATTTAACCTATAAATATTAGTATCCAGTTATATTTTGTGTATCTAGGAAAAAATCCAGGCCTTTTTTAAAACAATCTACTGAGCTGGCCAGAACCAGTCTATTCCACATTTTCACAATTCTAGCTGTGAAGAAGCCTTTCCATGATTGGAGATTAAATCTCTTTTCCTACAAAGAAAAGAGTTCTCCCTTGTCCTCTGTGATGACCTTAAAGTGGATAACTAAACCAAGTTCACTATATGGAGCACTTAGATATTTATACATGTTGATCATATTCCCCCTTAATCTCTTCTTCTCAAGAGAAAATAAGTGCAGTTCCTCTAATCTCTCCTCAGCTGAGCTGCCCCATGCCTCTTGTTAAAGTATATCTAAAGCCAATACTTTGGGTTTTTTTTATTTTGGATAGAGTAGGAAAGGGTTAACTACTGTCAGTTTTGTTTTTAGATCAGTCTTTTTATTTGAGTTTTAGAATAAACAAAGTACAGGAGTGCAAAGCTATAACTCTCCCGGCAGGAGAAAAGATACCCACATCCTCATAATTTGAGTAAACAAAACTTGTATTAGTTGTAGTCACCCCAGATTCAAATGGGATCAGGGAAATTCCAGCAGATAAGAAAGAAACCACGTGCCCAATCGTGATAACTATAGGCTCTCTGTCAACATCACATGCATAATGAATGGGTGTATTGCACTCTGGGTTGGTCATCGAACATTTACAAGTAATATTGAGGTCCTGGAACAATCAGACAGCTCATTACAATTCAAAGCACGTTAAAGTCCAAATAAGAAACGAGAAAAGATATGAGAGGAGAGAGTAACAAAAGAAGTTTGCCAAAGCCTGTAGAGAGGGTGTTCCCGAGGCCTCATTAATCTGCTGATATGTATTCTTTTTTGTGTTATTATTATTTCTTTATTTTGTTTTCCAATACAAAAATAATAACATTTAACAACCCAATATACATCACATACACAGGTTCAAAAGATCTCTTTTACAACATTAGGTCATTAACACAACATATGGCACATGGTGCCTAATTGGCCACACCGTCTAAAAAAACAAGTTGAGGACCCAGGTGGGGGTATTTTTGCAATCTAGTTGGCATCGGATACCAAATCAGCAATGTTTTATGGGATTCTCTTAGGATCATCTTGATATACATTTTAGATTGTTGGCAAAATCCTGCCAGTCTGATCAATTTTATTTAATGCCCAAATCTCTTTCCCATAGTTACATGTATGGAAGCTTGTGATTCA